TAAATTATTATTMTAACGTGAACAGCGGCCGTACAGGAATCCTGCAGCAATAGACTCGAGACACGCTGAGAAACACACCGCAACAGTAATAATAATAATAATAGACGCTAGACGATTTCATTTTGTCATTTTGTTATTTATTTTTCGCTAGCGCACAACACGTCTGGTCTATAGCATCCATACGATTATTACTATTATTATATTATGCCAATATTGGAGTGGAAAAAAATCGTCGTCGGTATACAGATCATCATAAAAATATCATGACGGTGAAGTAAGCGCAAGGGCACGGCGACGAGTGGGCACGAGGGACAGCGGAACTATATAGTAAATTGGCTTTGATTGACGGACACCACCGGTTACCGTTGCGACAATGGACAAATACGCAGTGCAGTAAGTACAGTTATATGTACGACGTGTAATAATGTACGTATTTTCCTCTTATCGAACGTTTCGTAATAATAATACGGAACGTCCAAGTCGTTTACGGCTCAAGTATAATAGTATATTATATTTAATGCGCCGTGTTTCAAAAAAACATTTTACGGTTTCCAATTTTTCGTAGTGAATTTTAATTGGAATTTAATAGTTATCGTGGCTGCCGCCGGATCAGACTTTATAAATAATATTGTTTATTACTACGGTATAAACAAACCAGAGAATACGACAAAGACACCACCCTATTCTCGATGTACGATACATCGGCGACGAATCAATTGTGATATTATTTAGAGTCTCGTTATATTAATATATGGTCCATATAACAATCATAAGTTATTATGAGATAATACACATATTATACGATGGTAGTCAATGATAATAATTATCGCATTATGTCCTATAGTCCTGTCCGGTGTAATACTTCAATAGACATATTATAATAACATTAATAACGATATTGGTCTTGTTTGTGTATGTGTCTCGGAAAACATAGTATTATCGTGATCGTGGTCTGGGTTGTGTTCGGAATGGAACGTATTTTCAAGATTGGGTCAMTCACAATAGGTACCTATATGTTTGATTTTCAACCCTGACAAGGTTCTTATAAAAAAAAAAAAAAAACGGCATAGAAACGGTAACCACACCCAACAACCGAGAAGACATAGGTACCCTATCATAATCATTCCCCTTTTGGCTTTTGGTATATCGCGTGTGATCGAATGTGTGTTGCACATCATGGCCATTATTTTAATACGCCCTTTAACAAAAATATTATCCTACACCGGCTACACCCTATCATAAAAGATACATGTCGAGAAAAAAGATGGGAAAGTATAATAATATGTATATTAATATATAGGAATGGCGTTTATGCAAGCTCATACTCATACTCAACTAATTCATAGTTAACGTAATCTAGCAGCTACAATTATAGTAGTCTATATTATAGAGAATCATTGAAAGTATAATATGATATTAGGAAAAAAGTCTCCGGAAAAAAAGCCCCCGGTAAGAAAGTTCCACGGATAACATTAATATTTTATCGTAAATAAGTATTTATACGTATACATAATTAAGTACATTTTAACTTTATTGAAAATAATATAACAATATAATATCTTAAACATGTAATAGTTTTATTTAAAAAATATAAAAATGTAATTATTCAAATATAAAAGATCTGAAAATAATATAATAGTATAATATCACAAGGCAAGAATGGCATTGGCTGAATTAGAAAAAATTAATCGGAAAAAAACAAAAGCTGGTAAAAAATTGAAGTTCGATTCAACATGTTATGTCAACGTTTTGATGAAGACAAATCTGCAGATATTCCTAATTTTTTAAAGCAAATAGGTCAAAATATAAGAAAGAGATCTTTTATATCTGAATAATTACATTTTTATATTTTTTATAATATTATAGGACGGACATATTTTATTCAATTTTTTATTATTATGCGAGGGGTGCTATCTGAACAAATACATTTTTATATTTTTTAAATAATATTATTATATGTTTAAGATATTATATTATTATATTATTTTCAATAAATTTAAAATATACCTAATTATGTATAGGTATAAATACGATAATTTACGATAATTTTTAATCTTAGAATTATTTTCAAAAAAATATGTAACATGTATTACCTATGGGCTATGTATACCTATATAAATACCTATATGATAAAAGAATGAATTTAAATAAAATATTAATTTGGAGACTWTTTTTTTGTGGGACTTTCTTACCGGTGACTTTGTTTCCGGGGACGTTTTTTCCGTTTACCAAGTAATCATATTAAGTTGTGGTTGTTGAATTTAAAAATAATGATATTAGATTACCCATTATACGTGCTATACCTAATACGATATACAGTTTAATATTTTTATTATTACTCGTATTTAACGACTTAACGTATAAACGATGATCAGCTGGTTTATACAAATCAAAAMATTAAAAAGAATAACTATGGTGGGTCTAAAATCTAGATTAGTAAGATTAGTTAGACAATTTTAAAACATGATAAACCAATAAACAAAAAATGTATAAAATATTGTAACT